GGGGGCGATATGCTGACTCTGTAAACCGCTTAGAGAGGGCTGAAAGCCCTATGAAGCGGTATATAAGTCTAACTGCTATTGCTATTGCTATACAAGAGAGGTTTTAAACACAGCTGAAGTACAGGAATTTCTTGAGGAATTTTCTTTTTATATATGCAGTGCAAAGGATAGGATTCTCACTTACATTTTTTGTTTGGTTAACTTCATTTCTTCCTTTCCCCACAATCTCATTATTGTAGACCATGAGGCAACCAACAGGTACTTCACCATTCTCAAGTGCATCTTTAGCCTATCAATACAAAGTAATTAACAACAGCATTGTTAAAAAGGACATGGTGTCATATTTATCAAGGATTGCAAGTTCAGAAGCACAGCGCGTCCAGCTGCATTTACTCCATCACAGGTAGTCTGGAACCAGAAACTTGGGTCAATAAGTGACACAAGACACTAAGTGCAAAATCATATGACTCTGACTATGCTTGTGACTTAACTTCAGCTTTCCTTTTCCCGACTCCCCAGCCTTTCAGAATGCTCACCCAGGTGCAGGGATAATTAATAAGGGAATTGGTGCTTGTATTTGCATTCATTGTAGATAAAAAGATTAAAAGAAAGTAAGCAGGCATACAATGGAAAAACACATCAAAAGGAATGCATTGGCAAACAGCCAGTGCTAGCACATACCTTTTGTTATGTATTCTCCACTGTGTGCCTGTTTATTCTCCTACAATCCTTCCCTCTCCAATCTCTCTTCTCTGCAAGGAAGGGGGACAGCTGCTGCATGAGACAGTCAGTAAACGAGGTCTATCTATGGAACTGTTTTTCCTAATACAAGAACAATAATATACAACAATGCCTATAAGAAATCAATATTTCTGACAATGGATCACATACATAGCAAAATAAAGGACATATATGTTGGCACTTACCTCTGCCCTCCCCCCAATTCTCAAAAGAAAAACAAACCGAAATTAGTACACAGCAAGAAAAACACCACACACAACTGTGATTTATTGGCTGAGCTATACCTGAATCAATGGCTTACTTTTCATTTACAATGCCTTTGTTTAATCAAAGCAACTGCTACTCATTTAATACGGCATAATTTGTTTAGTCTAGTGGTTAAGGCACCAGGTTAGAAACTGGGAAATTGTGAGTTCTAGTCCCACCTTAGCCATGAAAATCAACTACGTAATTTTGGGCCAGTCACTCATTCTCAGTTCAACCTACCTCACAGGTTGTGAGGAAAATAGGAGGAGGAAGGTATGTTGGATATTTTCATCACCTATTTATAAAAATAATACAAGTGGGATAAAAATAAAATAAACAAAATACTGTAATAGATGGCAGAAGTAGACATATGGGTAAAAGTTCTCAGGAAAGATAAACAGTTCCTTCTTCCAGAACAAAGCCTGTGTGTTAGACTATTGAAGTTGAGGTTCAATTGCTGAGGTTAAGAAACACTATATTTGGGCAACACATATTAATAAGGAACTGAGGGCTGGCATCTTAAATGAAATTTGGAGACAGGATCATCTTTCCAGGGTAGAATCCTATTCATCACATGAATGTTCACTCAAAGCCCTCTCAAATATAATTCTACTCATGTTGTCAGCCTTAGGCTTCATGCTTAGCTTTTTAATAAAAGTGATGTTAGCATTTTCAGCATGCCTCCTTTTGAAGTTCGGGAAACTATGTTTTCCTTTTAGCCAAAATCATTTCTTTCTTTCATTTGCTGGATGGTGGGAAATTGAAGGATTTGTCTGTCCACCTGTCTGCAAGGAATATAAATCCTTCCATTCCCCACTATCTTGTCAAAGCTAAAGAAGCTTCTTTGATAAGAAGCAAAACGTCTTCAAAGAAAAAAACAAGTAAGTCCAGTTGCCTCCTGAAAAAAGCACCTTTGGGACAACCATGATCTGGATGACTGAGAATCTCTATAGAAATGTCTGCAAGAATATAACCAAACTCAAGAGAGCATGGATGTCGCCCATTAACTGCGTTAGTCTTTTTCCCCCACTATCCCTCAGTTCCGAAAAGCTCGGAACCCCGAAATCTGATCTTTCTTTCTTTCTTTCTTTCTTTCTTTCTTTCTTTCTTTCTTTCTTTCTTTCTTTCTTTCTTTCTTTCTTT